ATATACCTCTATTGTTTCCTATTTGTATACTATTTCTGAGTTTTACCTGACAATTTTTTCGATCTCTTGATAGGTATATATATATATGTGTGTGTATTTTAAAAAGATATCCAATGATATATCTGTATATAATATTTACGAATAATTCAATTGGGGAGAAAAATCGTAAATTCTTCAATAATGGAATAACACTTCTTCACTTTGATATAATAAGTTTTCTATATTTGATTAGGTTACTTGAATTTTCGACAAGGAGGCGTGTCCATTCTCAATGGAATCGACGAGAACTCTATACGATGATGGGATTTTGTTGTTATTTGGAATTTAACTGTGGCTTCGTCGAAGGTTGAGGAAATCAGATGATGAGGGTTAGTTCGATGAAAGATGCATACGAATAGAATGAAAAAGAGGAAAAGAGAGGGACAAGGGAGAGGGACAAGGGAGAGGGAGCACAAGGGTATCTAACATGATCGTGAATCGCGTCGAGAACGAATACACCCTGTTATCCCATAGGGGTGGCAACGATTCGAAAGACTTTTTGGGACGGACAGGCTCGTCCTTTCCTTTATTCCCTGCCAAAGGGCGAAACACGAACGATACCGAAAGTCCACACCACTCTTCTCTCATGGTGTTATACCGAACAACCCTCCCAGTTAACGATGAAGAATGTTTCACGAGCGAACGTAATTCGATTCGATTTCCGATTTAGAGCTCTCCAAACTTCCAAATGGCTCCCGGGGTGAAGTCTAACGCAGAAAGAGAAGAAAAGAGATGACGAGAAAAAAGAGAGAGAGAGAGAGAGAGAGAGAATTTTGAACGAGTTATTTTTTTGAACATCGAAAAAGTAGATATTAGTGTAATGAAATTTCAATACTCGCGTAAACTCGGTATAAATTGTTGTAAAAACGTTGTCGGGTAGTTTTGGTGCTACTATCGAGAAATGAAAAAAAATGTTTTAAACGGAGGGAACGCTTTTAAACTTCGTATATTTCGTTTAATGAACTCCCGCAGGTGGGAAAAGAAACGAAGAGAAAATGTTCTCGCGAGAATTTTCATTTACCAAAGAGGGACGGTAAAGTTCGTACCTTCTATAAATCAACCGGCATCTTTTTATTTCCTACTTTTTTTACGCGTTATAAATTCGCAAGGAACGAGAAAAGTTAGTTAAATATTCGACAAGCAGTTTGGGAAACATCTACTACCAATAATTTTCAACTAAATCGAATTATTAATTAACGTTAATACGCGTGTTTCATGATATTTGCATTTAGAAATTCGATACGAAAGTGTTAACCTTGGTTCGTTCTTCATTATAGTAGTAGTAGTAGTAGTAGTAACCGTGATCTGATAAAGCTTTGAAGATGATGATCCTGATCAACGTCAAGCCAAAATTCGAATAAATACGTCAATCTTGTTCAACGTGATCCACGAAATATTCGAAATATACCTATTTAACAGACGCGCTTTATTATCTAGACATAAAATATTATTAGCACAAGTATAATATTTAAATTAACTTTAACTTCATATTAATAAAGGACAACCGTCCTCCCATTGATATAAATTTACAAAAGAAAAAAAGAATACCACCCTATCAAAATCCATTACCTTTTCGAAGCCCCATACATCTTTTACGACCACTTTCTTTTTCTATCCTACAAATAATTCCATCGTTTCCATTCCTGATTCTAATTCGTTTCTGTCACAATCGTCGCATCTGTCGAAACGAAAGACGAAATGAGAACGACAAAAGGGAGGGGTTTACCAATTGAAAAAAAAAAAGAAAAAAGGAGGAAAGGGGAGATGTACAACAAAGTACACACTTTGTATAGTTTCTATTTTTGGTTTTCGGTTTCGTGACAGGTGGTGATGTTGATGGTGGTAGTGGTGACGATGGTGGTGGTGGTGGTGGTGATGGTAGAAAGGTTCTAAAAACGATCGAATTTTCGAATGATTCTTCTCCCCACCCTTCCTACCTCCCATTTCTTTTTTTCGTTTTTTACTTTCCCCTCGACCATCGTGGAACATCGTTTCGCCATTCTTTTATCGAGCTATTCGACCTATTCGAGACTATTGTGAGAGAAAAAACTTTGCCCTCTCTGGTACTCTGCTTGCCGACGCTTTGAAATTGTACCCATGGGACCCATAGACGACATCTTTACACAATATTTCTCTCTCTTTCTCTCTCATTTTCGCAAACTCTCACCCTTCGCGTTCCTTTTTCTTTCTCTCTTCTTTATTTTATTTTATTTTCTTTTTTTTTGAGAGAGAGTAGGACAAAGAGAGAGAGAGAGAGAAAGAGAGAGACGCGGCGTTTACATTAAATACAAGAACCAAGTTTCCTTTTCGATCTAATTTGCTTTCCAATTCAATGAGGTCAATTTAAAAAACTCTTCGCTAGAATTACGATAGAATCGATCTATCGCAAAACGTGTTGTCGGAACTTAACAGCTATCGCGAGCTACACTTTATCTAACACCTCCTCTTTCCCTTTTTCCCTTTTCGAGTATTTCGATCCTCTCTCTTATCCCTTTAAAAGATCACGACTGTTCGTTAACCGAAGAGATTAGGAAAAGTTTGGGGGGTTTTATTTCGGCTGAGTTGAATTCTCTTTTTTGTTTTTTTTTTAAGCTAGATGAAAATTGTGCCGGCTGGTTTTCGAGACACGATGCAACTTCGTTGCAAACGAAAAGATAAAGAGAAGATAAATGCTGGCAGAAAAGTGTGTGTGTGTGTGTGAGAGAGAGAGAGAGAGAATAGAATTAGAAAAAGGGTGGAGGTTGTATAACGTTTTCGAAGGAACAACGTGCCGAAAAGAAAAAGTAAATAAAAAAAAAAAAAAAGGAAACAAAATAAATAAAAGATAAAAAAGCAAACGTTAGCTTAAGGGCAGCGATCGGATTTCGATTCTTTTCGCGAAGCCACTGGGGTTCTACTGGGTGTTAGAAACAAAAGAGAAAGAAATAGAATGAGATAAAGTGAGGAAGGGTAAAACCCGTTTGGACTACCTCCACCCCCTGTGAGAGGGTTAAAAAGCAATTTTCCGTTTCTACTCGATTCGAAGAGCATCGGCGGAAGGGTAGGGTAGGGCAGGGCAGGGTTGCTACCTCTTTTCCATCCCTTCTTTTCTCTTTCGATCTACACACACACACACACACACATTTATATATATAGTTGTCGACCTTGGGCCGAAGCAATTTCGATCGGATCTTCACGATCGAATGGATTCGACGAAACGTGTCGGCACGTTTTTGAAAGGCTCGCGAGGAGGTGGAGAAAAGGGTACAAAGGGCCGTTTGTATATTTGCGAAAAATCCCTATGAGATACTAGGGAAACGTTCAGGTTACTACGTTGTTGTTGTTGTTCTATACAGATTACAAAATGAGAGAGTGAGTGAGAGAAGAGGCTTTTCAAGTACTGTAATTTCGATTACTTTGATCGAATGCTTTAAGCCTAAACGAATTACGGTTTTTTTTTTTGGAAATGTTGGCTAAAAACTACCACTGACGTAAGACGGATAATGAATGACTATAATCGTTCTTTTTCCTGCACACTACGTACCTATCACTTTCTGGACTAGCAAATTTTAATATTTTGTTCGATATCATTTGTGACGTTTTGAAATATATCATACACCGCGTACAATTATTAAAAATAATTATTTTTTTTCAATGTTATATTATATTTATTATACTTTTTTGATTACTGCATGTTGCGTTTATTATTATTACGTTTATATCAAGGTATTATTAAAAATAAGAGATTATTATTAAGAATTCATAAATATCTTATTTTGAGGAAGATTAGAACAAAACCATCGAAGCAATTCTCTGTGCTTGCAATAAGAAGTAAATAATGAGAACTAATCGAAATTTTATCGAATTATCAATATTAGATAATTTTATTCGAGAATACATTTGTTTCATAATAAAATTAAAAAAGTGATCGCGCGTAACTATTATACTTAGAAGAAAGAAATCGATTGAAATCATTTTGTTTGCATCGACTTATTTTATGCGTTGATCCAATCGAAGTATAAAAAGAAAAGAGAGAATAATAAAAGAGAGGAAAAAAAAAATGTCTCAAAGCTAGAGGTCGAACGAACGTTGAAAAAAAATGGGGATTGGCTTCTTCTTCCATAGAGAGAGTATTCGTTCGCGGAGAAAAGCGTCAGCTGTCCGAATGACGCAGAAACATCGGCTCGCCTCTATGCATGATTGACAGTTTTATGGGAACGCACCAACGCAGTTTTGCGATTTACGATCTAGACTGGTTTTATCGTCGGCCGAGTCGAACCATATTCTTCGAGAGAGACAGAAAGAACACAACGTTTGATACTAATGACGTTTTCGTACAAGTGTACAAATGGAAAACGATTTACGACCGGGTATCTCACTTATACTTTTTCTTTCTTTTTTTTTTACATTCTCTAACGAAATTTGACGAATTTTAAAAGAAAAAAGAATACAATCTGAATGTTTTATAATCAAAATAATTACTTGACCAAGAAATATATAATAAAATAATAGTCGACAAATATTCTAACGGAATTTAAGCAATTTTATAAATATATATATAAATATATCTAAACTGGAATAGAAAAGCATGCAAACTCGAAACGTACGATTTTTCTTTCTACACCAAATATTTGTCTTTCTGTGTGCATACGAGTTACTGCAGGAAATATAAGTACAGTCATCCGCAATATAACCAATTGTTTGCATCGGATCAACGCGGTTCTACAATTGTATACTTTCTCGTTGACCAATGTAATAAATCAAAAAAGTTTATACCGGTGAAAGTAACGTTTGTATAAAACTAAATACAGTAATATATACACAATATATATAGGTATACATAGAAGTTTATACAAACATTTTTCATTCATTTGTCGTAAGTAATAATACGTAGTATGTTTGGTCCCAGACTTTTTGGATACCCTGTATATATTATATGAACACAAAAAATATATTAAAAATATCTAAAATCTTTTACTCACCTCGCAATTCGAATGGCTGATGTTACTTAAATTCAATCTGAAGATTTTGTCCCTGCAATAAAGAAAATAAAATACAAACATTATTGCGTGTTATATATAACGTCTTTCGAGTTATATTATTAAAATAAATAAATATATATCATATATATAAGAAAAAATAAAACGGGGGGGGGGGGGATAGTGGTGGTAGTGGTAGGTAGGTGAAAATGTGAAAATTTCCAGGAAAGACGACGACTACGACTACCATTTTCATTCCACTCGTCTAGAAAACGCATTACTCTTCGTACACCGTTTACTTATGGTCGCGTGGTAGCACATTGTGGCACTTTGCTAGGCAAGACGTTCCACGTCGGCAAATGCTCGTGAACGCCACGGAATTTCTATGAGAATGCGAGACCTAAAGGAAGGAAGGAAGGAAGAAAGGAAGAAAGGAAAGGAAGGGAAAAAAAAAGGAAGGAAGAACAAGAACAAGAATAAGAATAAGAGAAGAGAAGACTAGAAGAGAAGTAGAAAAGAGAAGGATAAGAAACGTAGGATTCGAGACGAAAAGAATGGCAGAAGAAGGAACCTTCTCTTCAAGGTTGTAAGATCTTTTAGAAACCTCCCTCCCTCCCCCTCACCCTCCTAGTTTCTAGCTAGCTAGCTAGTTCGTGATCCTTTTCCTTTAAAACGAAAGATCCTCGCGGGAACTTCGATTGTTCCTCCCTTTTTCCGGTGACCGCCTTTATTAGGATCTCTTCGTTGAAAGCACGATCGTTCGTCGTTCATTTTGTTTGAAACCTATCGTCGAATGAAAGAAAGAAAAAGATAGGAATGGTGAAATGACACGGGGTAACGTTAATGAACACAGCTCGGAAGATTCTTTCCGTTTTCTCGTCTTACGAAGAAGAAAATCGATTTCCATCCGGGAATCATTGTAAATAGTGTACTTCATCATTAGAGTTTTCCCCTCTTTGATATATTTCTTTCATTTTTTTTTTGTCTTGCCGTTTGCGAGCGAAATGTTATCATTAAATGTACCTAACGACGAACAACAAAAATTTAGAAAATGTTATTACTATTATATATATACATATATTTATATTATAGGTATATATATCTATCTATATCAAAAAACTAATGAATTATTATTATTATTATATATTGTACGTTTCAAAGAATAGATTTGCAAGAGTTATTGCAGTTTATCTTTGAGAATTAACTCCATTGTTGGAAAACTCGTAGCTGACCTATATGTATATATATATATATATATATATCGATCGCTTATCATCATTTTTACTGCGACCATAAATCCTCCATTCGAGAGGTGATTACTTTCTCGATTTATACGACAAATCGGAACGATAAATAGAAAGAGAGATAGAGATAGAGCGAGAAAAATTATTCAAATCTTAGTTATAGATAGTGAAAATTGTAACGAATTGTGAGATAAACGAAAAAATTAGAAGAACGAAAGTGAGGGTGGGAGGGGGGTAAGACGAGAAATTAAAAAAAATTGAAATAATGAAAAACAATACATATATATATATATACAAAAATAAGTAAGGTATAAGATTCGTCCATTTTTTTTTTCGTTTCCTCAGTGCAGGAAAGCATAAAATAGAAAAGAAATGTCAAGGCAAAGGAAAGGAAAAGAAGAAAAAAAAATAAAGAAAACAAATCCTGTCGGGTAAAATCCTAGGAGGACGAAAACGATTCGACGTTTCGAAACTTTTACTCGGTGAAAAACTTGGAAAAAAGGGGGTTTGGTAAGAAAACAGGTGAGGGTGACGAACCTTAAAAAAAAAAAAAAAAAAAAGGAAACGAAGAACTAAGAGTAGAAAAAAAGCTACTCTCTGTCTCTCTTTCTTTCTTTCTTTCTTTCTTCTTTTCCTTTAGGTCTTTTACGTGTCGGCTCGCGATCCCTTTTTGCTGGAAGAAATTCGTGTAGGGTTGTTCTGAGAGGAGAGTGCTGCCATTTACGCACGCGAGACTTGTTCCAAAGTGAAACTTGTGTTTTCGCAAATATTCGATAGAATTTCGTTCGAAACCATTCACGTCTGAAAATAATCAGATATTTATCCTTTTATTTACTCTTTACTAAACCCATTCCCATCACTATTTTAATAAGAGCAGAACGTAGGTATATTTTACCTTCTCATCCCGTTATTTTATTTCTTTTTTGTTATTCTTTATCTTTGATTTTTAATTTACTCCTTTATCTTTCGTTTGTCTCTCTCTCTTTTTTTTTTTATCTTCACTATCAGCCAAGTTTCTTTGGACGTGATAATAGGTTTGGTATAGATACATACATGAAGTTTTGCGAAGGAAAATTTTATGTTACCACGTAAAGATAAAGGTTCTAACGATGTTTCGGGACTTGAAAGCGTGTGAAAAAGAGATCGAAAAGGAAAGAAAGAGAGAGAGAGAGAGAGAGAGAGAGAGAAAGAGAGAGAGAGAGAGAATTTTGAAC